TTAATTGGAACCTCGTTAAATCTCCATAATGAAATGGCATATGTCAAGAACTACTCACTACATTTAGTAGTTATTATGATATAAAAATATTATTTGACTTAGAAGTAATAAGTTATAAAAATATATTATCCGAGAAATAAGTTTAGTGCGTCTGTGGAGCGCCAAAGATAAAACATTTGTAGTTTATGATTTGAGAAATTAATCTGTAGGCACAATTGTCGATCACATCTTAATCTCTCTAACACTTTTGTAAGTTATTGTTATATAGGTATCATTTAGTAGTATATTAAAAATAAATATTGACTAAGTGTAGGAAGAATTTCGGAGATTATGAAATTATATCTAATGTTTCTCAAGAGATGTAATTTTAATTTTGTATATAATTGAAGAAATTGAAGTAGTAGTAGTATTGTTGCTTGTACTTTATTTGTACAGTATTTAGAATATTCTTAACCCATATAGTAATAATAATAATTAATGGATAAATAGAAAATTAAAACAAATTTAATAAGTTTGTTCCCTGTGGCAGTGTACCTTTAACGCTGGCAGCATTTCCTCGCTGTATTGTGAAACTTATCCGTTGAGCGAGGAAAGCACCAGCTCTGGGGTCACTGGTAATATCTACCGCACTTGAACCCCACGGCCCAAGAGTGTCTATTCCAAAGGGAACAAAATAAATGTCGGAGGAAAGATTTATATTTGAGCTGTTTATTATTTTCTGCCTGTTCTGCGGCGATGCCAGCTTTTGTGCTTGTCCGAGGGAGGTGAGACGGGGCTTATTATTATTAAATATATTCCTTCAACACAGTATGATTTGGATTTTGTTTTATTATGACGTTTAATAACATTTTTATTAACACAAATCAAATGTCGATAAAGGTTTAATTAATGGGAGTAACAGTAATTTTTGGCCTCGGTAAAGATAAGATAGTTACAAGTAGTTCTACTTATTTTTAAAATAAAGATATCTTGATATGTGTTATCAGTTTATCGGCAATATCGACTTGCCGTGATTTATATGACTATATATGTCAACAGAATCAAAGTTCATGTATATATAGGCGTTCAAGTCTTGAATCAATTTTTGATTTTAGTCTCAAAAAGAGATAAAAACTGTTCAAGACGACTTATTTTAACTTTAAATAATATTTTAATGTAAACATTAATTTTTGTATGAAATATTAGCTTTCCTAGTGACGTGGTTTAATTCTATGCCAATTAAGTAATAAATTAGGCTAATTTAATTATTGATAATAGATGATATTGAAAGATATTTTTTATCCATTTATTATCTCACCTCCTTGTTCAAATAGGTATATTTTTTCTACAATGCATATTTGAGTCATATGAATATTTATTAACTTTTATTCCCACATATTATTAACATACTATTTAATTATGCACTTCACTTGTTTTATAAGTTGTTTTATGTGAATTTGACATTTTGCTTATATTTTTAACATTATATTTAAATATAAAGATTAAATCTCCTTTAAAATTATTATTAACCGTGATTTATGTGTGTTTAAATGTGAATTATGTGTTGTGTACATAATGTTATTAATATTTGAATATTAAAAATTAAATAAATATTTTTCGATTTATGAAAAAACAGAAATGGCAATGGGCGGGACTATTATTTGACAAACGGGAGACATACTTTCAAAACTGTTCTCACAAATCTGTTTCTACCCATATATATTCTATAGAAATTTTATTTAAATTTTTTGAATATCTTTTATAGAATAATAAAAATTTTGTTCACCACATTATTGATAAGTAATCATGACATTGCACGGAAATCGTTCAAAATCGACGCAATTTACGATAAATATGTGATTTCTTTTATTTTATCTGTAAATCCAATTTCAGTCGATGGTCAGATAGCGGCTTTAGTAGTTGTGATAGTAACTAACTGTGGTGTATCTTGCGCATCTTATCGGTAAGGATTAAGTTTTAAGAAATCTTATAGATCAATACATGTTAAGCCTGTGTGTATTTTGGCAAGTGTCTTGCGATCTCTTCAACAAAAATCGTTACATACAATTTACATTCAACCATAATGACACACAGCGCTGCGCCTTCACAAGCTCTCATGTTATTGACATACATGTATATCCTTTCTATAACATAAGTATCTTATTGTCCTTGTAAAATGTGTGAGGTTTGTAAAAATAAAATAATAACCTTCAAAAATCATGATTCCTATGATAATGACGCGGCCGATAACCATATATTATATGTAAGGACATTGAGATTTTGGTTTTGCTATTAAGCATACATATTTTATAATTATCAAAGATGCGTCATCTTCCTCCGCTGGCGTGTACCCTTAGTCCTTGCCTCAGAGGCAAGAGAGCGCCATCTTTGACAACGCGCCGTTTTTTAACAAAAAAACTTAGCGACATTCATAATTGTGATTTAAGTATCCAATAGCAATTTTAAATGATTATGCGTTAAACACTTCTTAATGGAGTTCATAAATTTACAATTATAGGTAAAAAAATACTTAATTTCGGGAACAGAGAACCAGAGACCTTGGGTTTCGAGGCATGCTTGTTTACCCCATGTTATATTGATATATATCTTTTTATGGACATAGTCAAACAATGATAATTAAATGATTTTAATTATCATTGTTTGACTATGTCCTTAAAAAGAATCTAAATTTATAAACGCCATTATCCAATTATCATAAATTAAAAATGATAAGAAAATCAATATAATTTTTCTTTGTCATATCCGACGATTGCCGAGCAGACTTTGATTTTTACGATAAATATTTAATCTATATATATAAATATGTTTGTATTTTCTGATTTATCAACACCTCGGGAATCTTCTAATAAAATAATGATTAGCCTACGAACGCAGGCAAAACCGCTATCAATAGCTAAATAACAAAAAAAAATGAAAATAATTTTTTATACTGTTTTAACCTTAGTATCTAAACATTCGTCTCTTTCTTACTTATTGTGCTTACGCTGTGATAAAAAGAAACAGAGCTATTTTTAGTTACATATAGTAGTAGGCTTCTTATTAAAAAATGATATTTGCGAAGGGGCTATGAGGAGTTGGTTAAACTGATCGTAGTTCGTAACACAGAACCTAATTGTTCAAAGCCAAAGCAGGGCCTAGTTGTATATAATCTTTAATATCAATAGTAATTTAGACGATGAAATCTTATCAATCTTATCTTGAGAACTGACATAATCTAATCATAATTAATTATTAATAACGTAACTGCTAATGCTGTATGATTCCTCATAAATTATACTTGAAAATATAAATCGTTATAACATAGGTTATATATTATATATATAGACGTGATTTTTTCTATGTCTTCGTAATACAAAATACTATCCGTATCACCTCGACGTCCGTCGTTTCACAATTGAGCGTTTCTTAAGGCAGTTTTTGCCGCGCACCAACACTATGCAACCAGCAAAAAATTTATGTTATACTTGCAATTTTTTTATATAAAATTCATCTTTTCTTTTAACTGACATAGTTTTAAAATACTATTACTCATTCTGGCTATTAAAAATTGAACATGTTTTTGAAAACTTGTAGTACTTGCATAAAATACATTTATTTTTGATTATCACCAAATAACAAAATTTAATCGATATATAATGTAATATTATTGTAAATAAATCGTTATTATGAGCGAATTTAGGAAAAGCACGTCTCAATTCATAACTTCGTAATCGCGAACCGACAGTGTAACCATGCATAGGTATATCGCATCAGATAGGTACAAGATTTACGTAATAATTTCACGATTTCTGATGCCAAAGTAAGCCAGATTCTGAAGCTTGCTGTAAATCCAATAAATGTTCAGTCCGCTTTATTAGACAGATCAAGATTACATAAAAGGAAAACATAGAAGTACTTTATAATAATTCATCAAATACAGCAAATTCTTGTACCATGTAAGTCCGACATGTATAAATACATAATTTATTCTAGAGGCGTCCGAGTGGACACTACTACGTCTTATTTTACAAGAAAATGCCATTTTCTTTGACAAAAAATACAACAGCGTGTTTATGTACCTATAAGTATTTTACAAGCCGAATATTACAATTATTAATAAATAAGTGGCGTGGCGCTACCTTTTAAGGTCTGGGCTTTAGATTTCTGAATCTGCTTTATGATCATTTATCTAATAGGCAAGTAGGTGATCAGTCTCCTGTGTCTGACGCGCCATCGACTTTTTGGGTCTAAGGAAAACCGGTTTCCTCACGATATTTTCCTTCATCGTTTAAGCGAATGTTAAATGCGCACAGAAAAGACAATTGGGGTTGAAACCGTCGCGGTCGTAGCTCAGGGATTAGAGAGCTAAAGCTGAGCTGCTCTTATTACTAGTTAATAATATGTAATTACTCATTGGTATTTTTATCATATCAAATTTATTAACAAATTTTAAGATTAATATTTATTTTCATATTACAAATGAAATCCCGGGGGCCATCTAGTAGTAATTGTTAATACTGGTATTCCCGTGACCACACGGAAACTTAGTATTATTTTTACTTAAATATTGTATAATTAAGTTAGAAATAATAAGTTGGAGAGTGTGTGAACACGGGGCCATATAGTTCTAACATTATTAAATATTTTTATATTTTTAGTATATATATGATAGCGCTTAGTAATAATATAGTAGGTAGATATATACATAAACGCAATATTTCTATCATCTCATTCTTTTTAGATATCTGTGTGACCTTTTTTGGAACAGGCCTCACAAGCAAGCTAGCAAGGGAAAAATTAAACAAACAACCACAAAAAAAGAAGATTTTGAAGATGCGTATAATATTATTAAGTGAATATATTTATACCTTCAATGTCGTTGTTATTAACATATTATATGTATATATTCTCCTATAATTCTTTAGTTAAAATTTGTTTCTTTTTCCAGATAGGCGCGTCATGAAGCGGTAACTGACTGAAATGCGGATAGTGACTTACAGTGCGTGTTAAAAAAGCGATGCATGGTTTGTGAGATCGGATCAGTCATGGACATGAGCGGTGAGGGGGGCGCGGGGGCTCTTCAGCAGCGGTGGTACGATAGCCGGGTTAACGGCAGCCCGGCCGCTGCAGAAGTCTCGGAGACCAATGGAGACTTCTTCCACTCGCCGTTAGAGGGCGGGCATCACAGCCGCGCTCGGTACTACCATCAACAGATGCACGGGCCGTACTCCTCAGCTGTTGGATCTCATGGTGAGTTTCACTTCTATACATTTAGTTTACAATGTAGAAGGTAGAGTTTTATTCATACCAATCATACTTAAAAAATTTAATGGTATGAACAGAGACATTTGAACATTTTCCTTCCTTAATAAGGGATTTAAAAAATTACAAGTTTAATATTACTTAAGGTTTAAAGCTAGTTTACGTTGTAGTTATGCAGGACATTACGTAACCCGGAACTCAAAATTATTAGACAAAATAAAATATCGATATAACCGTAAATAACAGCAATTTAAATGAGAGACAGAAAATTTAACTGGACTGGTAATAAGTAATTCCGCGACAGTATTAAAACGTCTTATCGCACATCAGAATATCTCAAAAGTCCACAATTTATTTACCCGACCCGACAAGTCAAAATCGCCATTCTTTTAGGTGACAGTTTAGGTAAACACGGTCTAAAATTCCCCACGGACCGTAAAAGAAAAAAAAATAATTCCATACTTTTTTGTTTTAACGTTTCGAGGTTTATTTTATGACGCTATAAAGATTTTCGTGGGGACAGGTGGCTCTTTTATACTTCAACTACACGCCCGAACGTACACAAACTCATATCGAACCCGGTTCCTAAAGGTTAGATTGGCTTGAGGTGGTCGGTATTTAATTTATTAAACGCTCCGTCGGTAGTGGTGTGACACTTAAGAAACTGTGTCATTTCTTGGAATCGGAACTGAGAATCGAATTCGTCGGGTTCACAGCAGTTATTAACAGTACTTTATGTGTGTCTGTCTCTATACGATTTTTGGCCTGTATGTTAACTCACTCTCTTATCGTGTTGTCCTCACTCACGAAGCGGCTTCTTGTTGCTTTGATTATATCTAAATCTGTTTAATTCATTTGTCGACAAAACGGCAGCGGACGATTCGATTATACTATAAAATTACGTAAAACATTGATTGTCATTTGTTTTTATTAATACTATATTATCGTAAGCGATGTTTCAATTTTTATATTTTGTATGATCTGTTATAATGTCTTTAATGCGTTGGTAAAAACATAATCTTAAAATAAAGTTTCATTTAGAAAAAATTATAAAGCGTTACGTATACTCTAGATGAACATACTGCTTTGATATATATCATAAAATAATGAAGAGGAAAATGTTTTTAGCTGGCGAAGCTTTCATTGAGCTTTTGACGAGGTGGTTCACAGTCCACATATAACCCTGCATTACACATACGAAACGGGTTAAACAATGTTATGATATACTTTTAGGGTGTAAAAAATACTTGTTAAATTCCAACTGTTGTGTTCGTTTTTCAAATGTGGGTACTTAGTGGGGACGCGTAACGTGATACGAGACGATCCGACGCGCGTTCTATAATTTATTCGACGCTGACACGATTGATGATATGGATGATATTATTTATTTTATAACGCCTTTCATTGCATTAAAACCTTCAAAAATTTATAAAGTACTTTGTTGGTAAAGCTGAAGCGTGTTTACAGCGCTTTAAAGCTGTATGTAGCCTGTGTACAACTTCAAATACAGGACGTTTTTTAATGTAATTTTCTCTTTAGCGCTTGCAACCGTGTAAAGTAGGGAAACACAATATTAAAAATAAATAAAGCAGTGGTGCTACAACCTTTTCAAGTCTAGCCCTCAGGTTTCTGTATTTGTTTCATAATCATTATCAGCCTCCTGTGTTTGACGCACGCCGTCGACTTTTTGTTGACTCACGATGTTTTCTTTCACCGTTCGAGCGAATGTTAAATGCGCACATAGAGAGTCCATTGGGGCACAGCTGGCGATGGAATCTACGATCTCAGGGATGAGAGCACGCTGCTGCCACTAGGCCAACATAATATTAAACTTACTATTATTTTTGCGTTGGGTATTTAGTTGATGGCTTTACAACCGAATTAACGGGGGGATAGTATATCGTCTAACGTATCACTCAATGTGTATCTTGCGTTCAAAGGTCGGTTTTTGACGTCAGAGATGTAACGATACCTTTGTTGCTTCCAAGAATGATTTTCAATACACTTATTGAAAAGTTCGAGATTTAGCGATTCTAAAATAGGATATATTGTCATGCCGTCGCGTGTGAGAAGTTATTATGGGCGCTTTTTCGTTAAGGTTCGACCAGTTCATTTTTGATTTATTATATATTGTAATAGTAATAATTATTATGTATTTGAAATCATTTGAACTAAATTCATAAAATTTCAGTGCTTTTGCGTTAATTTTACACTTCGACGCCAATGTTATGTTTTATAAAAGTCCGTTTCATTTAGGAACGTAGAAAGTACTTCCGAACCAAATCAACTTATAACAATAATTTAATATTTATTTAAAATACGGCCGAATTTACTTGTTTTAATTGGAATTCTTAAAGCTACTTTATATTATCTTACAAATACCACCTTACCTCTATGTCTTACTGCGTTCTAAATTTATATTCAATTATTACGTTATTACAAATATCAATACAGATATATGATTGACTACGATATCTATGGACAAGTTTCTTCAATTTTCAAATTGGTTGGTCAATTCGAAATGACTTCCACTTCAATCAAACTCCATTTTCAATTATTCCCTCGTCCAGTTGAAAGAAGACATCAACCTTTTGCTGTAGTTTACTAATTCATTTCCCTCCTGTCATTTGATACTTCCATACTTCTATTTTCGTCTGGTGGAGATAAGTTAATGAAGAGTCTTTTGAAAAACATACTATCAATGTTTGTATTAAATATTAATTGTTAAGTAATACATGTTTTTATTTATTGTGTTCCCAAAATATAATAAAAAGTGTAGGGATAAGTGATAGTTATGTAGAAAATATGTCAATAACAGTTAATATGTCAAAGAACGGTTGGTTTTTGTCAATAAAAAAGTTTTTATTTTTCAGTCATAAATACTTTTCTTAGGAACTAATATGACACGATTGCTGCAAAGTATTACGAACTAAATAATACAAAGAAATGTTGAACAAAAAGATGATTCTTAGGCCACTTTTGTTTGATTTTTTTATATAATTAGCAATAACATTGTCTAACAAAACGAGTGCGTACGCACGCACATATAAAAAAACGGTCCGCACAGATTGGCGCAATTAGTAGAGCGGGGCGTGGCCTGCGCACACGCAGTCGCCTCCCCGCACGCACACAGTGACAAGGACATGAAACTTTAATTATTTCCCCTGAACATTTTCTTCAAGCGTTTATTTGAATAACACAATCCTTATCTACAAATAGTGTTAGTTAAATCTTTGTAACTTAATCGGAAGCTTTTAAGATAAACTTTGGATTAATTTGTCTTGTTGTAATTATGTAAAAATATAGTACATTCATGAATAAACTTAGCTCTTAAATTGTTAAATGTAACTTAATTTGCGCAGGATTATTTTAATTGGACACATTTTTAGTAGAAAAAACGTTTTTAAAGGTTTTCTCACTATTTTATGTTCACTATTATAACTATATTTTATCTTTTAAGTTATTAAAAAAAGATATTCTCTTCATTCAAATTCCTACACTTAAATGACGAAAGCGCCAAATGTTACCATATTTATAAATGTTTCGTAAACTCAAACATAGATGGAGCTGTTCGCCCCGGGCCGGGCCGTAAGGGACGCAGCGAATTGGAAACCAAATATTGAACTAAACTTTCCAGACAGAATTCGCAGTTATGTTTGTTTCAATGTGTGCGAAATTTTGAAATGAGTTTCCATATTTTAATGCTCTTAGATGGAAAATGAATAAGAAGAATGAAATGAGATTCTTATGTAGGTATTCTTAATTTTGAGAAGATTGGTTTTAAATAAGTTCTTTCCTAAATAGATTGCTACATATATACAAATTAACGCGAGGTACTAAACAGACAAATTTACTCATAGTTGCCCATTATTGTGTCAAAAGAGTGGCGGAGAGATTATTGCCAGTTCTTCTCTTCCGTTCTACGCCCTTGATTTAAGAACTGGCAGTAAATGTAAAATTAGAAGCATTTGGATAACAACGGTGCATCTCAGCTAAATTGAACACCCATGTTAACGGTGTAAATTTATTTATATTTAGGGTAGGAAGAGACCACGGACCTCCACTTGCCACGGTCCTGATGTACTTCTCTCGCTTCATCCACTTTCATTACATTCACCATGCATGGTTTATAAGAACTTATCAATGCACTTAATAAAGGACTGATTGATGTACCTGTCTTATAATTGATGAATGATAGTAATTGCATTTGAAAAAGCTTTAAAATCAGCGCTTAATATAAACACTAACCGAATAAAAACTCCAACCACCAAAGTCGAGTTGATTAAATTCTAACACTATGGAATGTTAAACGCATAAATATAAAAGACCAATGTTGAATGATATAACTTTTTATCCATCCGAGATTCGCGGGATTCTAATCGGTAAAAACCTTCACGATTAATTAAGTCAGCCCGTTATTCATTAGAGCGGGCGTTTATTGGCCGTCACAATACATTTACCACGCGTTCGGTTGCTGTCTTGGATGACGAAACGGCATACTTGTTCTTCTGGTAGGCGATTGTCATTTTTTAAACGCCTCAAGACAATTTCCTGACGCGGTTTTGCTATGTTTCGGACACAGGACAAGTCTGAAGAATTTTACGTGGAATAATATAAAATTTTATCAAAATGGCCGGATCATCAACGTGCTATAAATATTAAATAAATAACAATAAACATAGCCTTTATTCGAGAACTACATAGTCAGGTTTACATTAAATTCATCTCCATGTTTAACAATAGTACACCACCTCCGACGGCGTGAAAGCCTCCTCCAAATTCTTCAAACTCATACTCAAAATAACTATTAAGTAGTAACAAGTACACTTATGAACGTCAACAGAAACGATGTTAAATTGATTCTAAATTTACATTTACTACCAGTTCGCAAGTCAAGGGCGTAGAGCGGGAAAGAAGAACTGGCAAGAAACTCGCTAAGTTTTGAGTTATACAATTGTTTGAACTGGAGCAAAACAATCCCAAGGACTAGGATCATTTAAATATTCGTCAAAACTCTTCCACTTGTCTCTCATCCACGCCACCATTTTTCAATCCTCGCCATCCCTTTTATTCTATCTTCCCAGATTTCTGGTGGGTGTCTTCTCTTTTTCTTTTCACTAGGCCATTCCAAGTAAGCGTTTGACCCATCTGTAATCACAAACGCGGGCAATGTGACCAGCCATTTTTCACTTTATAAGTATTACTAATGAATTTCGTTACTGAACATATCTGATACTAATCATCTGCTACACAATAACCTGCATGTAACAGAAAACACCTAATCATTCAACAATTAAGGCACCATGTTACAAGTAACATAAAGCTTTTGCTTCTCTAAGCTCTAACGATAGGCAACATAATTGCATCAGTTATTGCAGAATACGCCCCATACCACGGTAGCCCTTCGGCAATTCACAAACTTTACGTTGACCTGTATTGAGTTATTAAGATCGTACCATGATATTATAAACCCTAATTTCAAAATTCTTAGTTCAGCTTAGATATGTAGATCTACGCCGTAAAGGCGACGGTCGTGACGGACGTGTCAGGCACAGGAGGCTGATCATACTTGCCTATTAGATTGACCATGAAACAGATACTAAAATCTGAGGCCCAGGCCTAAAATGATTGTAGTTCCACATATTTATTTGACTTAGGTGTGACTATAAGCTTAGTGCAAATGCGCGAAAAATGAGAAAAAGGAGGTATAAAAAGTATTATATATCTTTGTTTATATTATAGGTGCTTTCGTTTATATGTGCATAATTATACATTAACAACACTGACATGACACACATGACAACTATTAATTATTGCAGCACAATAACAGTTCAAAAATTCTACGGTTATAATAAGATTATATAAGATAATATAGGTATAGGATTTTCTATACTAGACATTCGTGTACTTAAAAAAAGACCTAAAATCAGACGTTTAATGCATTCTCCCTGTATTATTGCTGTCTGTAAATTTTAAAAATTATTTTGTGTTATTATAGTTAAGTAAGGTGTAAGGTTTTGAAGTGAAAACTTCTTTAGCGGTGTTGTACACTTTTTTTGGAATGGGTAATAAATGTTAAACTCGCGTCAGGACACGACCTGATCGAAAATTCGTAAGACGGATGGAGAGTAGACAGCTGGCGCGGCGAATTTGATGTAATATAAATTGTCATGTGTGTGCA